AATCTTCTCCATGGGTATCTGACGTGGCCATTTTTGATAGCCCAGCTATGGGTTTCTCAATCTCTATGGCCATAGCTTATTGCTCTTAATTATTAGTAGATCTTTTCGTTATCTTTTCTTTAGTCTTAATCAATTAGCAAAAGAGCCTTAATTTTCTTCTAGAGAGAGAGAGAGAGATGAAGAAAATATAAATGTGGATAGTGGAAAAAAATCGATGAGAGAGTAGAACTCAGAAGAGAGAAGCACTATTTGAATGAAACATTTTTGTCAATGACCACCTTATATAGTTTTAAGGGGGGTGGGGGCCTCAACTTACATGGAGATAATAAATTCTCTCTCAGAAAGAAAAAAAAAGGTGAAGCTAGGAACCGATTATTGATTCTGTAGAAGAAGCAAGATCAACGCTCATGAGCTTTTTACAAATATAGTATAAATGGCTGGTGACAACTGTTAATTTCTGTCATCTTTTCAGAGTTTTGTATATTCTCAATCTCCCCAAGATCCCATTGCAAATATGGTGGTTGATGGGGGTGGGTGCTAATTTTAACTTAAGGGTCGTTTCGTTGGAATACGATTTATATCGGTATAAGTTATGCCGGTATAAGTTATATTGGGATAAGTTATGCTGGAATTAGTTAAGCTGAGATTGTTGTTTATTCATTATTTGGTATGTTGTATTAAGAATGACAATTGCATAATTTCTAAGAAGAAGGTATAAGTTATACCGGTGCTAATTATCCCACCTTCTATAAGGTATAAGTTATCTAGTGTTAAAATTAACACCAGGATAATTTATACCTAGTTTGCTAACCAAACAGAATATTAAGGTGGTATTAAATTTTTATATCACCCTTATACCTTCTTATACCTCATAAGTAGTAGTGTAGTACCTCCAACTTAATTTCTGTCTATTCAGATTCTTTAATTAAGTTTATGCTTACGTTCATGTCTCGATCGACCTTATTTGTTTTACATAGTGTTAAATTGATAATGTAATATTTTATATACATTACTAAGTTATAAGTTCATAAAATAACTGTCAGTCTATATACATAAGTTAAATCCATTGTTTATTATGGAAGTTGAAATACTTTGTCTAAAGTCTGTGGAGCAATAAGGTAAGTTAAGGAGTGCAAACTGTTATACACCTATACTATATGTTATCAAGATAATTTGTGGTTCAGGATTTAAACTCTCACCTACTATGATAAGCTGTCATATTTTGACGTTCTCGACTCATTCACAAAATAGAAAAAGAACTTTTGAAGATGAAAAGCACGTCAAAAGGAAAAGTTTCATTATTTTATTTTTTTGGTAAACAAATTTTCTATTTATATGAATGTTCTCTACAAATATGTCTTCATCCTAAAGTTGGACATGTAGCCCCAACTTTGGTGTGCATCTCTAGTTTCCTCTACTAACTCTAACATTCAAAAATCTTTCTACTTAGTATCGTGTATCTTATTGCACCTAGTTCGACCTTCTCCTTTGTTGCTTCATGGGTAGAAGTTTAGGCTGGTCATATGCTTTGCTAGTCTTGTTACTTTGCTTCCTTTGCAGTGTATATCTTGTATAATCAATTTCACAATCACCTCCTCTTATCTACGTTTGTTCTGGAATAGTTTTAGGTTCCTTTCCTGCCAGATATAGTAGATGCTCCTTACTAATATCACTCTATATATTTCAGCTTTCCCACATTTCCTTCGTGCATTATTTGTTGCCCATGTTATCTCCTCATACCACCCCCATTGTAGCTCTGTTTATACCCTACCATGTGAGTAATTTTTTTCAGATTCTAGCAGCTACATTGCACTCAAAGAATAAGTGTTGTGTGGTTTCCTATTCTTGGTCAGAATACATAGCGGACTACTCTGCATCCCCCATTTGATGAGCCTATCTCTTGTATATAGTATATTCTGTGCAGCCATATATACTATGAAAGACCACCTTGGACTACTTTGATTGTTACATATCAGCCTCCTCCAATGAACTCTTGAATATTTACCTCAGGTTGTTGTACATTTGCCTAATTGAGAACTCTTTCTTGCTCATAATTAGCTCAACTGTTAGCCCAACCTCTTCAATATATTTCCCTACATTGAGTATCTTTTGCACAACCTAGGATGCTTGTTTTGCCTTTACTTTATGCATCATATTCCCCTTTATATAATATGTGTGGACCCATTTGATCTACAATCTATCTTTTTTCTGCCCCTGTCCAGAGGTAGTTTCTGCAAATTGCTTCAGTCACCTGTATGATCTTTTTAGGTAGTATGAAAATTTGAGACCAGAAATTTTGTATAGCTGTGAGTAAACTTTTTAGCAGCTGAAATCTTCCTGCATAAGACAGTAGTTTTGTTGTCAAGGTAGTGATCCTTCCTGTTATCTTGTCTAATAGTGGTTGACATTGCCCAATTGACAGCCTCTTTGAGCTAAAAGGTACACCTAAGTATCCAAAGGGCAATGTTCTAGCTTGGAAACCCAAAGTTTGCAGGATTTCCTGCTATATGTTAGGAACAACCCCTCCAAAATATATAGAGCTTTTCCCTGGTTAGCTAGTAGTACATATGAGTTAGAGGAGCTTTCAAAACAGGCATACAGTAGCTTTGCCGATATCACATCTCCCCTACAGAATAGAAGCAGGTCATCTGCAAATCCCAACTGCACTAAGTTCAGTTTGCACACCTAGGGTGATAGTTTAAATTAGGATTGTTCTTCAGAGTCTTCAGCAGCCCAGTGAGGTATTCTATTGCTATTACAAACAGATATGGAGATAGGGGGTTCCCCTGCCTCACCCCTCTCTTTGCAGCAAATGGAGTAGTTGCCTTCCAATTAACTACAATAGAGTAGGATACTGTTTGTACATAAGTCATAATCCATTTCACAAATATATTAGGAAAGTTCAACCCAAGAAACACCTACTCCAGGAACACCCACTCAAGTGAACCATATGCTTTTTGCATGTCAATCTTGATCATGTTTCTTGGTGATATTCATTTCCCCTCATACCCCTATATTAATTCATGGCTAAGTATGATATTATTATTGATCACCCTACCAGGAACAAAAGCAACTTGTCCTTTGTCAATTAAATCATCCATAACTCCTTGTAGTCTGTTGGTTAGAATTTTTTATATGATTTTGTATATTGTAATGTAGCAGGAAATTGGTTTGAATTCCTTCATATAAGTTGGGTTCTTTAGTTTTGGCACTAGTGTAACAACAATACAGTTTATTGGTCTGTACATGTCTTGATTCTCAAAGAACTGAATTATTGTGTTGGTCACCTCCTCCCCAATTATTGTCCAGGCCTTTTTAAAGAAGCATGAGTTGAAATAATTCATCCCTGGTGCTGTATTTTCATCTATCCCTTGTAGTGCACGATATACTTCTTCTTTGTCAAAAGATCTAATAAGTACTTGTTGTAGCCTTCTATTCAGTATAGGACCTATGTCCATTATATTAGGTTGTACTGCAGTTGTATTTGCATTCCCTAGCAGCTGCTTGTAGGATTTAAGTATTTCCTCTTCTATGGCCTTCTCTGTTTGCAGCATTCTACCTTTAGTCGACATTACGGCCTTGATGTGGTTTTGTGTTCTCTTGTTCTTCATGTTTACAAAGAAGTATGTTGAGTTGGAGTCTCCTAACTTTGGCCATTGCATCCTGGATTTCTATTTGTATATGTTTTCTTCTATCAAATCCCATTTCTCAAGTTGTATTCTCAGCTTCTTTTTTCTTTAAATAACTCATATGGGTGGTTTGGAGTTCTCATGTCTTCCTGTAGCTGTTTAATCTTGCCTCTGATGTCTTTGATTCTTTCTGTGGCCCCAGTAAATTCCTTGATTTTCAGTTCTTTGATGACACTCCTAACACGTTTTAGTTTATCCCGGATGTCTTTACTGTAGTGTAGGGCTGTGCACGGATCGGATCGGATTTAGCATATTTCGGATTCGAATTTCGGATTCTAGAAAATGCAATCCGAATCCGATCCGAATTATATCGGATCGGATCGAATTTTAAAGTTTGGATCGGATCGGATATCGGATCGTATTATTATGCCTCAAAGTTAAACTAATATGTATATTTTCTTTGTAAAAGAGGCAATACATTAAGAAAAATTCATGTTTATGCAATTATGAGAGTACTATGATGCCAATATAGCTAAATCTAGCAATTATAAAGGTAATAACTTGAAGGTTGATGTAAATTAAAGTGTAGTATTTATACATGTCCTAATAATTTCGGATTTCGGATTGGATTGTATTAAAATATACCAATCCGATCCGAAATCCGAAATTTTAATAAACATAATCCGAAATCCGATCCAATCCGAAATCCGAAATTCAAAATTGAATGGATCAGTTCGGATTTCGGATATCCGATCCGAATGAACAGACCAACTGTAGTGTGCATTACTAGTTTGTCTCCAGCTGTCCTCTACTACCCTGGTGAAGTTAGGATGGTCTACTGTACATTCCCTTATTTCTGCATCCTGCACCTATGTACCACGTATTCTGTCTTGTACATTCAATATGGCATTGAAGTCCCCCATTATTAACTAGGGTTCTTGCTGCTATGTTGCCATTAGCTCCAGTTTTTGCCAAAAAACCTGCCTATCCTTTATACTATGTAAGCCATAAACTGTAGTGAGATAATATTTAACATTCGCAATTATCCCTTTCACTTGAACATGTATGAATTGAGACTGTACATGCAGCTCAGTTATCACTGCCATGTTGGGGTTCCATAGCATCCATATTCTTCCTCTTTGTGTACTAGATGCATTAGTGATCCAGCCCCATCCGGGTGAAATTTTATTTACTATACTTGCAGTTTTGTTCTCTTGAGCTCTATGCTCTATTATTGCTATAATACTAATATTATTTTCTCTAATAAACTCCTTTGTCTCCTTTTGTTTATATAACTTATTCACCCCTCGAACATTCCAAGCAGCTATCTTTATCTTGGCAGAAAAAGAAATTGAGTTATGTCCTCCATGCCTATGCTACTTGCTCCCCCTTCTTCAAACTGTGCATGTTGTGGTCCATTCTCTGTTTATTTTCTTCTTCACTGAGTGAATTGAAACCATTTATGCTAACTAGCTGTTGTGTATTCTCTACTTGGCCTACTTTAGTTGTATTCCCAACTGATCTGCCTTGCACTTCTGTCCAGCCTTCCTCACCCTCTTTAGCTTTTCCATTATTGCCTGATTCTTCCTTGTCCTTTTTAGTTTCCGCTTGTGTTACAATTTTACTTTGTCCTGCTTTCACCCGTACTTGCTTTGTAGACATTTTCATAGCTTGTGGCTGTTGTTCCCAATTCCTGGTGGTTTGAATTGGTCCCACATTGTCTTTTTGTTGGCAGCAATGCCCTACTAATTGCAAGCATGTAGGACAGAACAAAGGTTTCCAGTCATATGTTATCTCATGTTCAAACATCGTTCCATTATGTTCTTCAACATTCAGCTTTGTTGGCAATGGTTGAGTGACATTCATCTCAATGAGCATCCTTGCATATGAGACCCTTTCGACTTTTGTTATACAATCATCATCATATAGAGGGTTCCCTAGTCCACTCCATATTCTACTTAGTGAGTTCATACTCTAACAATTGAGTGGTAAATTTGGAAGGTTAATTCATAAGAGTATGATTTTTAATACCTTTTCATCAAAATTGAAATTTGGAGTCCATGCTTTGGTTATTATATGCTTGTTGTTGATTGTGTATGGCCCTAAAACCAGGGCCTCATTTTGGTCATCCTTGCATGTGAATTTGACAATGAAATAACCTTCATTGTTCAAGTAAACTTTAGGCTTGGCTATGAAGTTCCACTCTGATTCAATGAATCGTTCAACAACCCCAATTGTAAGCGTTTCCCCAGTTACATACATTATTACAGCATTTCGCCATTTCTCCGCCCCCCTATCCACCTTTTCCTTTTCCAATTGCACAATTTTGACACCATTACCAATTTGAAGAGCAATGAAAGTGAGATTCATACCTTTTGCAACTATTCTATTCCCTTCAAACAGGTTTGCCCAATTTTTATTCTCCTTTCCATTATTTGCCTTCTCCATCTGTTGTTTCGCCAGAATAGGTGCCTTTTCATTTGTTTTTACTTCAATCACTTCACTTCCTTTATGTTTAACCAAAAATCTGAGTCTTTGGTCAAAGCTTAAAAAGAAATTCGGGTTACTGATAATCAGTAGACGAAAATAAAATACTTTTGAGAATGATGGTAAAGCAGTAAATAGTTTTGTATTTCAGTAAGATCCCAATAATATTTCGTATCCTTACAGATGGTGAGTTCTTCTCCTTTTATAGCTAATCCTAGGAGAAGAGGTAATGTCTTTGTCTTAATGAGGCAATTATGAGCAATAAATGACATTAAAAGAAACGTTACTCAATCATTTCTTTTTTAAATACCAAATATTCTAGCGTATTTGATATTTAATGCTATATTTAAACTCTTTTACGTCATCAGATTCGTATCTTCAACTTCTTCCGATCTTCGGTTTTTAGATGACTTGGATAGGTACGAGACTCTTACCTATTTTAGTAACGGTCCGCACCAATGTTGCTTTCTTTTTCCCTTATCTGTTGTCACTCATACCTCTTGGCTATTTATTGTGTTTTGACCATTTGACCAGTCCACGTGTCATGCCACATCACCTACAATGTAAATTCAGTTTTTTTCCAATACACTTTAGCTATTGGACTTTTACTGCCCTGTTGTGTTCCAGTATTTGGAGAGATTGACTTCTCCAATCGAACAGTAGCTTGCATGTTTTCCCCTTCTGACCTAGGTATGGTCTTTGCCGTCTGTTGCAGCACTACCTACGTCACATTTGCATTCATCTCCCGTAGTAACGGCCAGTTGGTCTGCGTATTGATTTCTCCGATAACCTTCTCGGGTCCCGGTGTTTTGTTCAGAATTTTTGTAATTGATCGTACTTTTAATTTCCAGATTCCAACCATAGATTTCCATCCTCAGTAAGTCATTTCATCAGTTCCGTTATTGTCTCCTTGTTCGCTGTCCTCCGATTTCCCTTTCTAGGCATTCCGGCGATGGCTTATGTTAGTACTCACCACTAACGTGCGCATGCAGGAGAGAGAAATTATTACTTGAGATTTTTCAAGTCCAATCAAAGTTATTATGACTTAAATTGAAAAGTTCCATTATTATGTAATATAATACATATTTTAGTAGTAATATTATTATCTTTTGAACACACAAGCTTAATTAATTAGTACATTAGGCTTCTTCGATACATTTTTTTAACAAGCGATCATCATACAGTTTCTGAAATGAAAACTGCATGTAAAATCAAAAAATTAAAGTATTTAAGAAGACCTAAGAGCAGTTAATGGACTGATCAGAATGATACTTGCATATATAAGATCGTTAAGATCTTGATTTGCATACAAAAAGAATACTACTACTAATTACAATGCAGAAGCTCCGAGAAGATTTTCTGGCCCCACTACCTCTTACTGCTTTCAAATCTCAAAGCTCTTAAGGATCATGTTAATCATGGATTCATGGTCTAATGATTGGTTATCATTAAGGCTTAACCTTCTTCCTTCATGTGTCACCCAAAAAGATATTTGATATTCCACAATGATGAATATAACATTTTAATATATATTATACTGCCCATTATTATATTATGGTATCATTACTATAAAAATTTTATGTACATGTATTTGTAATTCCACTAGCATGTATTTCATAAGTTACTTATCACACTACTTGCTAATGGCTAATGCACTCATCACATTCGATTAGATTTTTGTGCAATGTCAATAATAACATGGTAGCAGGAAAAGCATAGGAGTTGGGATACATTATCAGATTCTGTGGTTTGTAAGGACTTCAAGTATCTACCCTTGAGAATTATCAACCAAAGGAGGGGAGAGAGAGAAGTGACCAACATAAATGAAGAAAACAATTAGAGTACTGCATATGTTATTTAATAAAATGTGGCTGAAGATCATGAAAATCTATGTGCAACAAGCTCAACATGCATGAGAATTGTTTTTAAAAGATATAGCGTGATACATAATGTAAGAAAAGGGTGAATAGTGATGATTATAATTTGGCTAGTTTTGTTTAACTAATTAGCCTCTCGAAAAAGCAGAGATATGTAACAGTACTGGAGCTGCATTTAAGACACTAAGAAAAGGGAATACAGTATCTCTTTAGTCCTAATAATATTTTATTGTGGAATGAATGAATCATGATGGCATATATCAGTCATGAAGCATGGGCTTCCCTAGTATTTAACACTTGAAAGTACACTTAAACGTACAAAAAGTTTTTTTTTTCCTCAAATTATTGCTCGCTTATGGTGAAGTCTACCTGCTCATCAAACTACTACCTCTTAAAACCCAACTAAAACCTTATAAATCTATTAAATACTATAAAGTGTTGTGCTTAAGAAATTAGAGGGCCGTTTTACTTTGTGCTTTTTACTTTAATGCTGTGCAAAAAGAAAGATTTATATATAGCTCGATAGATCTCATTAGTTAACATAATTACGGATAGATATATAATGTATTAAAGTAGCAGTCTCGATCGATTAGTGACTTAATTCCTGCATTATAATAGTGCACGAGGATTTTCAAGAATTATGCAAAGAGAATTGCTTTGTAGTACTGTGAGTTAGTAACCCTAGAGAAAGAGTTACAGATTATCAAAGGAATGATCAATGTTTGATGAAGAAATGTTTTGTGAGTGAAATATTGGGGAGTCAGGAGGGTTTAGGAGGAGGATTGCAATGAAAAGTTTAAATATGTGATTTTTTTTTAATGTGTAAGATTCCGTCAGTATCATTGGACTATAAGTGTTGGTGATTAGAGATGTGAATTCGATAGTTTTTTTTTATCTTTTCAGATAGAGAAACTCTTCTAAATGCGGTTGGGTTTTAGGGGTCATTGGTAACTTTTGGAAAAGTTCTTGAAAAAATAAAGATTTTTTTTTTAAATAAAAACAAGGATTGTGGTTTCTTGGGATAGTTGTAGTTTTTTCTTTTAATTTTTTTTATTATACCATAGGGGGAAGGGAAATGGGGAAGGATCCAACAACTAATAAAATAAAAGATGAGGTCGCTAAGTAACTGAGCTATTATGATTTTTATGAAGATTTGGGAATATTTTCTGAGAGGAAGAATTTTTATTTGTTGAAACGACTTAAAGTCACATCCTCATAAAACTGAAAGTCTTATATTACAGCAAAACTTCAACAAACACATCCTCAAAAGATTGCAAAAATTAAACTCTTTAATTTGCGGAGGAAACAAAAAGAACAAATTAAATGCTAAAGAGAGATGGAAATGAGACAACTAGACTTGTTTGAACAACAATACGTACATGTTGTATAATAAAGTTAATCAATTTGAAAGAATATCAAACATTGATAAACAGCTTTAACAGCTCATGTTGTCTACAAATTCCTAGAAAAAGACAATATTGTAGGTTATTTCTTGTTGCACTTCTGGAATACAAGCGAAAGAGACATTCCCTCTGTTTATATTGCAAATCTAACTCTACTAAGGTAGGGTTGTTAGAGAATAGACTCTAGAGATTCTCGTTTTCCACTAATACTAGGCTTAACCAATGATGATTACGCCTTAATCAGCTAATTAATTACTGACGACGGAAACATTTTTCTGATTTTCTGCAATAAATTTAGGAATTGAAGTGGTATGGTAGAATGATAAAGGTTTCTCCATCCTAAATTACAAGTCTCGAGTTGGGGTTCTGTAAACGAATCAATATCTTTCGACAGGGAGAGGTAACTAAAACCTCCTATGATACACTTTTATGGCGCAAATTCAGATTAGTAGGACCGGTGAATCCTGGACACTGTAATTAAAATGAAAAAGAAATTGAAAAAACTCTTAACGGCTTATGTAAGATTAGTGTCCTTTCATCTAATTAAAGTCCAAAAGGGTATGGAAGTTTTTCATTGGCGCACAGTTATTGAGTTACACTTTAGCTTAATCATGATTATATAGGCATAAAGCTCGACATATATTGTCATTAAAGAGGCCATTAGAATCCATCCACCTAATTGCATCTTAAAGCGAGATTAGACTTGTTATGTTCACGATAATTCTATTGTAATGTCAACGTCAAGAGAAGAACATTTTTCTACACTTTCTTTGTCGTCAAATTTTAGAAAACTATATATTCCAAAATCTTGCTTGTACGAGATAAGCTTAATAATTAGAAATGAACGACAGTTGACATTACTATTTACTATATATCAAATCAAACTTCATTTTTGCCATAACGGGTTTGTTGTAATGATCAACTAACACATGATTAAAATTAAGTAAGTCACACAAGCAGACCAAGATCTTTGATAGCAGAAATGGAATTTGCTAAAAATGTGAGGGAAACTTTAATCTTGTAGCCTTGTATGAAGGCACGAATCTTATCAAAAGATATAAGGCCATTGGGAATATGCCACGTTGGAAGATTTTAATGTGAATGATGATACGATATAATCAAAACCGGAGAATATTGGTTAGATATCAGTTCTTGACTTTGGTTAGATTAATTGGAACAATTGTTCGCATGAGATTTTCATGTTAACATCGTCGCTTTCTTCTTTTCTTTCCCCTTTTTTCTATATAGAGTCAATATATGCGGATCTATTAGAATATATTTTCCAAGAGATTTTTACATGTTGCATTGTCGACGCAAATTTCCACGGTTCATTCTGCTCCTTTAAGTTTTTGCAATGTGCTTCATAACTTCAGCGACATCAAGAATATCCCAATTCTAAATCTTTTGACAGCTATATTTCAATATTTTTTCGTTCACTTTTACTTGTCCATTATATTAAAAATATATTTTCACTCTTGCTTATCAACTTTAGTAAATCAAGAGACAAACAATTATTTTTTTACACTTTTCATTAATTACTTATTTTTCAAGAATTCTTGAATTGCTAAGAATCTATTTATCATTATTAGAGGTTATATGATTGTTTACCCTCAAAATCGGATGACAATTGAATTATACGCAATTTTAAGGATACGTGATATAATTTGGTACAAATTGAGAA